TTGGCATGAATATGAATACTAAAAGACTCCCCTGAAGCAAATATGTCTACAGCTCTCTTTTTGGTCCCAATATAAACGCAAAGTCCACGACTTCTCTGCAGTAATGCAGATTGTGTTAAATCGGTCATTTTCTTAATGAAGTCTGGTTCACCGATCGGCAGCTAGCAGCTAGCTAGCTGTTTGTCCTCCCGCAGGGTCCTCTCAGCGCCTTTAAATCACCAGAAAACTGTCGAAATGTTTCCCCGTGAAGATGACACATTGACAGACACGATTAAATTAGTTTTACCTTCTTCCAAGGGCTCCAGCGGAGTGCCATAACTTACAAAATCCTCGTCGTTGTCGTTGTCGGACGCCATGTTTACATTAGAACTACGGTAGCTGCCGAAGGACAAACAAACTGAGCACGAAGCCTTGAATAAAGAAACAAAAATATTTACACCTTCTAGCGGTAAACAAATGTAACTACACTGAAGTGTAAAATTTCTCTCAAAAAGTTGAAACCAGATGTATACATAAACTGTATAACAAGACAGAACCACTGTCTGACATTAAACCAAACTAAAACATCTTTATTTCAGCTCAGTTAGGATTCCTAAAATTATTTCTAAATGCCTAAGATGAGTTTTAAGAAAATTTTAAATTACTTTCTTAATTTCTAAGTCACAGTTTACATCCATTTTCTTAGTATTTGGTAACATTAGGATTTGGAGAAAGAAAATCCTAATTTATGGTTGTGATGTGCTGCAGCAGGCAGTTGTCAAAACAAATTATAAGGCAGGCCCTTAAAGTCCTCCTTTGTTTTTCATTGTTTTATTTTTCTGTTCCCTCATTTTATTGCTTTAGTCTCATATTGATTTACCTGACATATAGAAACAGTGTGGAGTTGAAAGTTGAGTCTACATGCTGACCTCCTGTTTGACCTGTCAGGTTAATAAAAATTCAATGCACAAACACAGTTTTCTGCTTATTTAGCATAAATATTGTGAATGTGCTTCTATGCATTGTCTTCAATGTTCCCATGATGAAATGTTTTGCATTTGACCCATCACACATGAAGTGGAGCAGTGGGATTCCCTGTAACTACAGTCAACTTTGAGTCTGATTATAAAAGCTTAACTGATCAGAAATCTGATCTGGTCCAGTTTTAACGAGTACAAAAACCAGAGTGGAGAAAATCACAAAACATGATTAAATGTTTATAAAAGTTAAAGCTGCAGATTTTATTTTTTATAAATTTTTGATGGAAACTCTGAGTTCATCAGTTTCTCTTTGGGACCACCAGATGTCAGCATCTGACTGCATCTGTGGGACTGTATAGGTGGAGCGCTGCAGGACTCTGTCTGCAGGTCTCTGTCTGCAGGTCTCTGTCTGCAGGTCTCTGTCTGCAGGTCTCTGTCTGCAGGACTCTGTCTGCAGGTCTCTGTCTGCAGGACTCTGTCTGCAGGTCTCTGTCTGCAGGTCTCTGTCTGCAGGACTCTGTCTGCAGGACTCTGTCTGCAGGTCTCTGTCTGC